TAAAAAATTTCTTTTCATTAAAGCTTTCAAAAAATTATTTATGAAGCAGTCACTCAGGGTTTAAAATACATCAGTGTTTTGCCATGATTCTGTCTTGAGTAAAAACCCCACAGTATTCCTGTTTGTTTGCTTTTTAATTACTCTGCACAAAGACATAAACTACTGCATACGCCAGGATGAACACATACAACTGTGTCAGATAGAAAAGGAGCCAAAGAAAGAAAACATTAAAGTACTGTTTCTTCTGGTATCCTTGGAGAAGCTGTGGTGGCAACAATGCTTGTTGTTTCCTGTCTGAAGAAATATTACATATATGGGAGCCAGATCTCTAAATATTTACACTGCAAAGACCTTGTTCTTTTGTGTTAACATGAGTGGTAAGATTTTAAAGTTGATTTTAAATGGTAAGAGTTTAAAGATTTTGAAGAGTTCTTCCAGACACTTACTCTCCCTACCTGGCAGCAAGGGCTGCATCAAGTTCATCTGTGTTTGCTCATTCGGGAGCGATGCATATAGGATATGAAATCCAAGGGGATGCCTCCATACTGGCAACCCTCCAGTAATCTTCAGTCTCCAGCTGAGGTAATAACGGGACTGCAGGACCGCCTGCCCTGTAGTCATGAGCAAGGGCATGAGCAAGTCATCATAACCAAGGTGCTGGATCCACGCAGTGATGACACAAGCACCTCTGGTTCCAGTTGTTGATGGATACAGTTCATTAAAAAACAGCTGGTGGACTTGTGTGGACTATTGGGCAATTCCACTTACTGTCCAAACCTGAAAGTGGTCAATTGTTTTGTGGCTGTATTTTTGAAATATTTAGTGTTTTGTAAATGAGCTATATGATGAAATTTCTTTTCCCACTTTGAACAAAAAATGAATAACACAATTCATAACAATTAAATTATCAATTTCAATGCTTTATGTTTAATTTCATAAACCTTAATGGATGTGAAAAGGAATGAAAGTCTTTGAGAATCCCATTTTCACGCTTAGACTAAGGCTTACAAAAAAATGAAGAAAAGTGCAAGGATATACCTGATGAAAATGACTAAGCAAAGAAAAACAGGTGTAGTGGAAATGTCGGTATTTAAAAACAGCATTAAAAAAATATTTTCAAACATGGCACTTCAGATGTGCTTTTAGTTGAGACCATCACTTGGATCATTAACTAAACAGTGACCACACTATGCAGGTAAGTTAAAACTCATTTACATTTCCTTTCTTTTTTCAGTATCTCCTGTCTAAGAAGAGAACTATATGGGCCCAATTTAAAGAACTGCTTCACATGCTGTAGTGAGAAGTTTATAGCCCAAAAGACTAGTAACTACTCAAAATTAATATAAGTTAGCGTGGGCAAAAGCAAACATTCAACCAATGACAATACTACTGCTTTCTTTTTCAGGCTTGTTGATGTCTATTATGTGCATGCAACGTTTATAGCTCAACCCTGAGTTACTTTTCCACAGATTTTTAAGGTCAGAAACAGATTCATCTGTAGCACACTGCTTTAAAAGTAGCTGGACTTTGTTCAAACATTCAAAAAATCATCTCTGAGCTGCAACTAATCATAGAAGACTTAATTCCTCAAGGAAATTGTTCTGGGAAAGTTATAAGCAGACGTAACAGGAATTTATAATGGAAGTTGGCCTGCAACCTCAGGCTCATCTCAAAAATATTTACACATCTGAGTATCTCATTAAAGACACATATAAAGCCTCAGTGCTGCACCAAGCATCGGGACAGATTGTGGGTAGCTTTGTGATGCTTTCCTGAAATTTGTGAGAGTTACACAAAGGCACCTTCCCACAGGGAGCTCATGTTCATGTAGCATGGTTTTCAAGCTGTTCTGATTATCAGTTTTAAAAATATAGTCTAGCTCTCAGAAAAGGCAGAATCTTATTTAATTACATGTCAATCTTTTCATAGTGTCTGTATACAGGCAGTGTCCTGGAGCCATGGAAGGAGCAAGAGTTGCAAGTCTATCTTTCAGGTACCTGGAGATCTGAGCTGAATGTCTGTGTTCCAGACATAAAAGGAATTAGGCTGCAAAAGCCGTGATTTTCTCAAACCCACCCTGTGCCCACAACAAGTGAGAACTAGGTAAGCTAGGTTAACAGGGAGAGGCAAAATGGGAAAGTGAAATTCAGGTATAGGCACCAAATGCTCCCACTGTGTGTGACCTTGAACCATCACCCTTTTTACAAAATAGAGCTAGAAAAACAGTTTTTATTACCTCAGTGATTAAACACCACACACCAAACATGGGAGACTCAAATCTCTTCTCTGCCTGAAGGAACTAACATTTACATCTCCCATAAGAACTCTCTAATGACTCAGCTAAATGATATAATGCCTTGGACTCTCACAACTCTTCTCCCGTTATAGCTCTAATACTCTTCATGATGTGCTTAAATATGCACTGCAGTAAACACCAAACCCTGATCTTTTTCTCCTGTACCTTGCTGACTGTTCTAACCAGTGAGCTTCACAGTTCACAGAATCAGCCTGAGCCAGTCAAGTTCTGTGAGCATTTTATCGTTCTATGGAAACCAGACAGTTCAAAGCAGTGATTTGAGACCTCCACTCAAGGATGTGTGTTTGGAGACAAGGGCGTGCTGCCAGGCGGTGAGAACATGAGCAGCTTTCTGGCCACTGGTGCACACCAGGATGCTGGAGAAAAAGGGGGAGAGAGCATAAACCTGTACCCCTCTTTGTAAGAATGTGAGATATCCAATTAATTTTGCTCTGAAAGAGCCCCTGGAGAGGGTCTTGTTGATGGGACAGGTGACATAACACTGATGGTGAGAATGTTGGGTTTGTGCAGCCATGAGATACCTGCCTACCTGCTGGGCAGCTGCGTGTGTGCGCCAACAGCTGCAAGGACATGAAGGAAAATCTGGCAGACATGCACCCATCGAGCATCTTCAGAGATCTCATGGTCATTGCTCTGCAATGAGAGGCAGCTCAGTTTGTGACCAGGGAGACCTGGAACAGCCCTGACATGGTGGGTGCATCAAGCTTTGCCATTTGGCTCTGGAGAGGCCCACGCAGTCTCTTGACCTGTGGGATGCTGACACGGAAACAGTGTGGGAAGGTCGATAGGTTTCACCTCAATTCTATTTAGCAACTTGAAAATACCGTTGAACAGCACCATTTTCAGAGCAGCTCTCAGGTGGTTTTCCTCTCATCTGAAGCTGCTTGTCACTCATACGTCTCCCTTGTGAATGCAGATGAACGATTTCACCTGACCCGCCGGGCGTCGTTGCCCCCGCCACCGGAACCACACCTCATGCCCTGCCAGCGGCTGGGGATCGGTGATGCGCAGCGGCCATGTCGGGGCGTGAGGAGTCACCCGCCGCGACCCCCGTCGGCGGACGGGGAAACACAAAGGGGAAGGCAGCTTCCGAGCGAGGCACCCCCGCTTTCCCCGTGCGCGGGGGGAAGGAACGGGCAGGAATATTCTGGACCGAGGGAGGGGAGGAAGAAGAAGGTGATGAACAACTTGAATAAATCTGCAACGGAGCTGAAGCGAGGGGGAGGGAGGCGGCAGCAGGAGGTCATGTGAGGCACAGTCATGCTGCGGGCCCGAAGGAGAGGCAGGGACGGCCGAGGGAAAGGAAGGAAGGAAGGAAGGACGGAAGTAGAGAGGGAGGAAGCCCTGCGCCCGCCCGGCGCCCCCTAACCATCCCGGAGTGCCGCCACACGGGGATAAAACCTCCTTCCCCCTCCACGGGCTCGGCGCCGCTCGGTAATTTCCGCCACGCAAACCGAACCCATTTCCGCCGGCCTCGGCCAGACGGGCTTTATGTCTGCCAGCGGGGCGCGCATGCGCGGCGGCTGCCGCCATCTTACGTTGTCTCTCGCCCGCCCTCCCCTTTAGCGAGCATTCCCCTCCCCCCGCAGCCCGCGCAGCGCCCTCCTCCAGCGCTCCGTGAGGAGACGGGGCCGGGCGGGGGACAGACCCGGCGGCAGGGCGGCCGCCACCGACCCGTGGGGAAGAAAGGACGGGGCAGGCGCACACGCGGGAGGAGGACTGTTCCCAGGCGCGGTGCTGCAGAGGAAGAGCGGGTGCCGCCTGTTATAAAGGGGGAGGAGACGGAGGGGGAAGGAAGAGCGTGCGGAGGGGAGCCTTCTCCAGAGACAGCCAGACACAGAGGGAGGAGAGAGAGGCTGCCTGGCTGGCTCGCCCTTCCTCCCTCCTTTTGATGGACTCTCTTGTTGGGCTGCTGCTGCTGCTGCTTTTCTTTTCTCCTTATTCCGCCTTTCTAATACCCAAAATGATTCAGCTCCATGGCTGCCACTGACGGGGATGTCCCTGCCCGGCTCAGCCTACCGCTGCCGCCCTCCTGTGCGCCAGTCCTGTACGTATCTGCGCTCTTCTACTACTACTACTACAGCAGTGATGGCGAGGGGCGCCGTCTGCCCCGCTGGGCTGCCCTGAGGGTCTGCCGGCTGCCCTCGCCCCGCCGAGGAGAAAGAGGCGGCGGCCCGGTGGCGCCAGCCGCGGCGAGGGCGGTTCTGCCGGCTGCCGGCGAGCCGCGGGGAGGAAGGGGCTCGCCCCCAGGGCCACCGGCATTTCCTCCGGCCCCTGCCCACCCCCGGGAGAGGCGCAGTCGGTGGGCGGGGGCGGTGGCGGCTGAGGAAGGGGGTGGTGGTGGCAATCAAAAGGGGGTGGGGGGGCGAGAGGGAGAAAGAAAGTGAATGGCGGAGGATTGAAAGTGTCACATTCAGAGGCGCTAATCTATAGGCGGCGGAGGACCGGTCCTCGCCCCCTCTCTGTCTCTGAGGGGAGGTGGAGGGGAGGGGGGTGGTTAGCGGCGGTGCCGAGGCGCCTCAGCCCATGCTCTGCGGGAGCCGGGGGGGTTGTGCGTGGTTTCTCTCTGCCCTGCCGTGAGCGCAAAGCTAACTGTGTGTGTGTGTGTGTGTGTGTGTGTGTGTCTGTCTCTCTCCATACCGGGGGATTGCACTCTTAAAATACACCCGATACAATGCACCAGCCTGACTCAGCCGCAGACATTAGTGCTAGGAAGATGGCGCACCCGGCAATGTTTCCTAGAAGGGGTAGCAGCAGTAGCAGCGGCAGCAGCTGCGTTACTGCTCCCACTGCACCAGGTACCGGCGTTGGGAGCGCTGCCCTCTCTGCCGAGGATTATCAGCCACCTTTGCTGGTCCAGCCGCCGCCTCTGTCTCCTGCAGCATCTTCATCAGCGGGTCCACAGCCGACACCCCCTCCTCCACAAAGCCTGAACCTCCTCTCGCAGTCTCAGCTCCAGCCACAGCCTCTTGCACAGACCGGAGCTCAAATGAAAAAGAAAAGTGGCTTCCAAATCACCAGTGTGACCCCTGCTCAAATATCAGCTAGTATGAGCTCTAATAACAGCATAGCTGAGGATACAGAGAGCTACGATGACCTGGATGAGTCCCACACTGAAGATCTGTCATCTTCGGAAATCTTGGATGTTTCTTTATCCAGGGCCACTGACTTGGGAGAACCTGAGAGGAGCTCTTCTGAAGAGACTTTAAATAACTTCCAAGAGGCAGAGACTCCTGGGGCTGTTTCTCCAAACCAGCCTCATCTTCCTCAGCAGCATGCTCCTCTGCCTCATCACCCACAGCAGAGTGTTGTGATCAATGGAAGTGTTCACCCCCATCATGTTCATCATCACCACCATCTTCACCACCACCATCATGGACACCACCATCCGTCACATCCTGGGGTGGGCAGTGCCCCAGTTTCCGGAGGACCACCGCCCAGTCCATCATTTAGAAAACTGTCAACAACTGGAAGCTCTGACAATGTTATATCAACTGCACCAGTTTCTGCTGCATCATCCACTGGTTCTCCGGCATCTGTTGTGTCTAATATCCGCACTACAAGTACTCCTGGCAATTTAGGTGTAAGTCCTGCTACTGGAACTAGTACCTTAAATAATATGGGTAGTGGTAGTTCTAGTGTGGCAGGTGGTGTGATTGGTACTATAAACTTGAGCAACATCACGAGTACTGCTAATGTAAATGCTTTGTCTGGAACTGGCAGCAATGTTAATGTGAATATCTTGAGTGGTGTTGGCAATGGTACGAGTGCTTCCTCTAGTGTCATTAACAATGTTACTAATCCAACTGCAGGAATGGCAGTTGGATCAAGCCAGCAGCAGCCTGCATCTGGCACGTCAAGGTTTAGGGTTGTAAAATTAGATTCTAGTTCTGAACCTTTCAAAAAAGGTAGATGGACATGCACTGAATTCTATGATAAAGAAAACACCGTTGCAGTTTCCGAAGGAGTAGCAGTAAACAAAGCAGTAGAGACAATAAAACAAAACCCGCTTGAAGTGACTTCTGAAAGGGAGAGCACCAGTGGGAGTTCTGTTAGCAGCAATGTAAGCACACTGAGTCACTATACAGAAAGTGTGGGAAGTGGAGAAATGGGAGCACCTCCTGTGGTACAGCAGCAAGCATTTCAAGGTGTGGGTCCACAGCAGATGGATTTTAGCAGTGCTGCTCCTCCGGCAATTCCAGCATCAAGTATACCACAGAGTGTTTCTCAATCACAGCTTGCACAAGTCCAGCTGCATTCTCAAGAAGTAAACTATCCACAGCAGAAGCCAGGGGTCCAGCCTCCTGCACAGGCCAGTCTAACCACTGTTACTGGGGTTCAGCCAGCCCCAGTTAATATACTAGGTGTATCCCCATCTATGGGCCACCAGCAGCCTGGCATTCAAAGTATGGCTCAACAGCAGCTACCATATTCTCAGCCAGCGGCGCCTGTGCAGACTTTGCCGGTTGTGCAGCAGCAGCAGTTGCAGTATGGACAACAGCAGCAGCAGCAGCAGCAACAGACAGTTCCTACACAGATGGCCACAGGTCATGTTAAGTCGATGAACCAAAACTCCGTGACAGGGGCTGTGCCAGACTACATTCAGCATCAGCAGATCCTTCAGACTTCAGCCCCTGCCATGCAGCCTAGTTCTGCAGGAGTAGGAGCAGGGCAACCGGTTCCTGTTGCCCAGGCACAGGGCATGCAGCCTTCAGTACAAGCACATCCAGCCGCTGCCCCAGCTCAGCCTGTTGCACATGCTCCAGCAGCAATACCAGGTGTAGGTACCAGTGGTCAAATGCTGAATGTTGGGCAGCAAGGGAGTGTAGCTGCTGTGGTGCAACCACCATCTGCTGCAAACCAAATTCCACCTCCAGTTATGCCGTCAACGGCTGCTCCTCCATCTTCACAAGTAGTGCAGCCTGTGCAGACAGGAATAATGCAGCAGGGATTACAGGCTAGCGCTTCAGGCCTTCCTCAGCAAATGGTCATTGCTCAGCAAAGCACTTTGTTACCTGTACAGCCACAGGCACAAGGAGTGGAATCTGTTGTCCAAGGGATGACTGGCCAGCAGCTGCCTGCAGTTAGCCCTATACCTTCTGCTAGTACTGTTCCTGCACCAACTCAAGCTGGTTCAGCTGTGCCTCCTGGCATACCTTCTGCTTCTATAGGTTTGGGACAGCCACAGAACATAACACAAGCTTCGGCTGTGCAGAATGGGAATTTGTCTCAAAGTGTTAGTCAGCCTCCCTTGATATCAACAAGTATAGGTATGCCAGTGGCACAGAGTGTGCCACAGCAGATGCCGCTAAGCTCTACCCAGTTCCCTGCACAGTCACTAGTTCAGTCCGTTGTAAGCCAAACTGAAGATGGCAGGCGCCCTACAGAGCCTTCCTTGGTGGGTTTACCTCAAGCTGCCAGTGGTGAGAGTGGTGTTGGAGTGTCGGCCGTTTCGGATGGCGGTAGCAGCAACGTGCCATCCTCTGCTTCCCTCTTTCCACTGAAGGTGCTGCCATTGACGACACCTCTGGTAGATGGTGAGGATGAAAGGTAAGACTGCTTGTAACTTTATTAAAGATAGATTGCCTGATAGCTTGTTTTGCACTAACTTGCAGGTCTCGTTACAGCCATTCTGTGAAATGAAGTAGTGTGATGTTTGTGTCTAATTAGAAATATTATTTCGCAGGTCCCAGCGCATGTAGGTATTCTATTAAAATACTTGTTTTTCTCTTGAGGGGGTGGGTTGTATTGATTATGCTCTGAAACTACTGCGTGGGTAAATTGTGTTTAACAATCTGTGACAGTGTGTGTCTTCCCATTGTATAGAGGAAGACAAAAGAATACTGTGGAATGTGGGTATGATAGTAGTGATTGTAGTTTAGATTATTTATCATATTGAAATAATATTTATTCTTAGGTTTGTTTTTTTTTTTTCTTTTTTTACAAGCCTGGACTTCATCCTGCTTCAGCTTCTCTTTTTCAAGTATTGCCTTTACTCAGGTTGAACCAGTTGTGAGTCTGTGGTGTATGTAGAAACCTTCTCTTTGACAGCCAAGCAACGCTTTAGGCAAATGAGTATGGTGGGAAAAGGGAGGTTCGGCCACACTGTTGTGGCTCTTTAAATTGAACTTGGGGCACTTTTGGTCTTGGTGGTTTTGCTTCAAAGTATTAATCCATTGTGAGAGCCGCTCAGGCCTGTGGAGGAGTAGTGAGCCTTTGAATTTGGTGCGCTGATTCTCTGTAGTCATAGTAAGAAACTGCACATGTTCTCCCACTTGCACTTTTTCAGATAAATGGCCATTGGCTGGTCCTAGTAAGTAGTATGTGCATGTCAATAGTCTTATTTCTTTGACAGTGTTTGCAGAGAAGCTGTGTCAGCTGTGAAAGGTCCTTGCATGTGCAGGCTGAAGTGATCTGAACAGTGGTTCTAGAGTGCAATTCTTTGATGTTAATTATGTGTGGAAATTCCTCACTGTATTGAGAATCTCTTGTGACACGCATTTACAAATGGACAGCAATACTGTGGTGGTTCTCCCTGAGAACTTCATGTCTAAGCAACAGCTACATTAATAGAAGTAACTTTAAGATAAACAGCTTGTCTTGAGAATGTGGGAGAGGACAGAAAAGAAAATCTGAAGACTTGTGGGGGGGGGGGTGGGGGCTGTAGGGTGGAAATAAGGCAGTAAACACCTACATAGGGGGGGAAATGGGATAGCAATGGGAGGTGAAGTGCTTCTTAAGTATCATCTTGGTGCCATATCTTAAATCAGGAGTAATATCAGTGGCCAAAGTTTATTAAAAAAAAACAAACCAAAAGAGGTTGCTGGAAGAGGCTTGATTCTTACTGTTGAAAATACTAATTCTATCAGCAGTATCTGATTATGTTGATCATGAGGTGTTGACTGCCTTAGTGGCTTTCATCATGTCTGTCTAAGATGCCAGAGAGCTATAATGAGTAGCAGCTTGTCTTCCAGAAGTGCTAGGAGACAAGTCCCAACACTGTTTCATTCTGATTGTTTTTTAGTCAATAAGTACATGAAGGTGGTAGAAGACAGATTGAGGTGTTAAAGCCCACAGTATCACCAGTATGCTACTAGCAGTGAATTTTCTCAAATGTTTTTTTCATTTTCCTTCCTTTGATCTTTCTACAGCAGGACATTAATTCTGCTCTTCATGTGTCCTGTTTGTGTTTGGTGGTGTTTTGTGTGTTGCTGTTTTTTTCTAACCAAGCATCCAACCAAAGCTCCTTAAGCTTTCAGGGTTGAGTAAGAGGATCATAAGCTCATTGATACTCATTGTTTTGGAAAATGACATCTAGCATGTGACTGTACCCTGATTTTAAGAGCATATGTTAGCTGTTTGTCACGATTGGTAGTTTTTCCAGAATACTTAAATCCCTCAGGGTAACAATAGCCAGAAATACCTTCTTCCTCTGTTATTTAGCTAGCCAAAGATCATATCCTTTCTTCTCCCATGCGCGTTGTGTCTTTGTGTCATCTCCAGGTAGACTACACTTTTGTTTAGCTGCTGTTGGAAAATCATTTAGATTCTTTACACAGAGCAGGATATGACTCTATTAAATGGAGATCAAAAATAATTGTGGTGTTTTTTTTTTTTTTTGCATGGCAATAGCAGTCAGGTCACTTGTGTCCAATCAGATAATTTACAGCAGCAGTTCTCCCTGTATATGTGTAACATTAAAAACTTAGTGCCATTGCTTCTGTTTCCTGTTCCATGGGATGACAGGGCGAGGTATTAACTGTATTGTGATCTTGACTGGAATTTCTTTTGGTCCGGAGCTTAGACCTCATTGCTCATTAAAGGTAGTGCAAGCTATGCTGTTCTGCTTGGCCTCTGACTTTTCTGGCCATTGGATTTCTCTTAATTAGAGTTCTCTAGAAAGGTTTTTGTTTGTTAGATTATTCCCTCTTCTACAGGAGACAAAGGGTAGTGTATTGTAAAAGTACATAAACATTTAAGAAGCAGGTATATTGTAAACATGTAAAATCCTAATTTCTCTGTCTCATGTGCATACACATGTATACATCACTGAAGATTCATATCAATACATCCCCAGTGATTATAAACCTGGCAAGGGAGAAGGTAGAAGAAAGAAGTAAGTGATGACATAACTGGGCCAGTGAAGAAGCTGTGAAATTCCATATAGTGTGCCTTTGAAAAAGCAGCTGACCCATGTAATGCCTGGTTTAGATTAACTCTCAGCATTCCTTAAACTTGTATATAATTGTGTTTAAAGATGTGCCAGTATGTTTAAGACTTTAGCCTTGTTCAGTTTTTTGTACACCATTTGCAGCTCTTTCTATGCCTGTTATCAGGGCATATCAGCCTTTTAAATATAGACAGTGTGAAGTGTATCCTCTTTGAAAACTGTAACCTTTATTTCCCTGGTGTGAATGATTGCTTTAATATCTCTTTATTTCAAGTCATGGTAAAGATTAACAAAAAAGGAGCTGCTTGGCAGAATGCTGTATGGAAAATTAATTTACAAACTTTATTAAAGGGAGGATACAAATAATACTGTTAGTTTCTCTATTTAAAAAACAAAGAAAAACAACCCAACCAAAAATCAAATGCAGAGAAAACCACCACCCCTAGTTCTCCTGAGTAGTCTTCCCTCAGCTTGTGTGGTATGCCATAAATATTTGTATGTTTGTAGATTCATCCTCCTTTCTAGTATTTCCATCTGCAAAAATGTAGGTCACTTTCTATTTTCTTAGCTTGAATCATGGTATGGACTCATTTTAGTGTGTGATTCTCATATAGTTTCTTGGTTTTGCATTAGTTACCTTGATTTATTAGTTCAGTTATTAAATCATGTCAGTTTTAGATATGATCTTTTGAGCTTAGTATTTCATCTCTAGAAATGTAGAAAAAGTTTTTTTTATGCTTTTGAAACTTAAGTATGGGGAAATACTTATACTGCAGTGAATTCTTTCGTATATTTATAGTTATTCAAAATCAGTTTTATATCTCTCCTAGACTATACTTTATTGTGCTTTGGATGCTTGCAGTAAGATTTTGTATGGACTTGTGTAAGTCTTAAGTTACCCGTGAGGTAAAATCTTAAAAAAATCTACGTATTTTGCAGCATTTATAAAGGCTGCTCTAACTGAATTATTTTAACTTAATCTCAAATGTTGTTTACCATTACTCAAAAGCAGTTTTTGTGAATGAAGGATAACAGAGCTAATAACTGCCTCCCTGTCCTTGACAGCATTTTCCATGGAGTTGCTTTCATTCTTTAGTCTGATGCACAAGCAGGTGGAAAAAAAAAATCTTGCATTTCATCCAACAGTGAAGCAAAAAACAGAAATGAGGAAAAGGTGATGGTGATGCTAAACACAGAAAATCGTCATAAAGATATTCTTTATTATCTGACAATCTCACAATTTTATTTTTCAAGAGAATTTTTTATTAGAAGATCCCTTTACAGCTAAAGGAAGGAAGAGGGGAGGGAACGTTTTCTGTATAGGATGTATGTTTTAGCTTGTTACTAAGTCTGTGGAAGGGCTGGAAGACTAAAACTGAATGTGAGAATTGAAAGACTTGCGAACAGCCTTTGAGAATCTCTAGTAGTAGTAACTAGTATTCTAACTTGTAAAGCAAGAATACAGTCAGGAAACTGGATCAATTTTCATCATGTATGTGAGTAGTAGGAAGGGTGAACAGGTGCAGATGAGATTTTTACAGCTGTAACTGAGTACTTTCCAAAGATCTTAATAAGATGTGGCAAACGTATTAAAGTAGAACTGGAAATTTCAGTTGAATGTTATTTTTGATGTACTTTTTTTTTTTTTCCCCCAAGCTGTTTCAGAGTTTATATGGGCTTTTTGTTTGCTGTAGGTCTTGCTTCTGTATACATGATGAAAAAGGGAGGTACTTCTAGAAGATACTTCAAAAAAAAGGATTTATGGTGGCTTAGCATAGATGGTGGTGTTTCTGGACTTGCATCCTAGGGGCAGTGTTGCTGTTCCTCATTTTTCAGATTTTGAACTTGCTTCAGAGTTATGCCATCAATTTGAAAATTGCATAAGTTGAGTTCAAAAAGTCTCTTCATATCTTCAATTTAGCTATTTATGGAAGTTGAAAACATAGTTACCCTCAGTAACGACAAGTCACATGAATAAAAAGAGCGCTTCGGCAAAGAAAACATGGTTGCTGTTGTGTCATGCTGAGAAGTCCAGCTTCTCATTTCATCTGATGAAATAAAATACCCGCTGTTGGTGGAATCGACTTTCAGCTCTCTGCTCCAAGTAAAGAACAATGTAGAATGTAGAGCCTGTACCTTGTGTATCTGCTGGCCCAGTGTAGGTGCCAATAACTGTTTAGATGGACCTTTTTCTGATGTCTTTTATAGATGAGTTCTGTGCATGCCATGGTGTACCTTGAACTAAGGATTGCTACACTGCTTGTATTGCATTGTTTTTTAAAGACGGGCAGAATTCAGATTTCAGGGGGTTATAAAAGCAGTAATTTAGCACTTAAGGCAGATTGTTGGAGGTGCTGAGAAATGTATCTCTCTAGCTCAT